CTTAACAGTCCCGTGAACCAATGACAATACCAGCCCCCATATCTATTCCACTGGGCCCACTAGGCCCATCCAATCAAGCCTTGCACATGCCACCTCCTAATGGGCCCACCACCTCAACTTCAATAACTTCAGTGAGCCCTCCTCCTCAGTCCACTCACCCCATGGTGACTCGTGCCAAAAATGGCATTTTCAAGCCCAAGGTCTTCTCTACTAGTCGTCACCTTCTCCCTGACCTCACCTCTGAGCCTTCTTCCAAAGTCCTCTCTAACCTCAATTGGAAATCTGCCATGACGGAAGAGTATGCAGCGCTCTTGCGCAATCATACTTGGGACTTGGTTCCCCCACCACCCAATTCCAACATTATTGGGTGTAAATGGGTTTTTCGTGTGAAACAAAATCCTGACAGTAGCATCTCCCGATTTAAGGCCTGTATTATTTCAAAGGGATTTACACAACAAGAGGGCATAGACTACATTGAGACTTTTAGTCCAATAATTAAGCCCGTCACCATTCGCCTCATTTTGTCCCATGTTGTCTCCTATGGATGGTCTTTACAACAACTAGACATACAGAATGCCTTCTTGCACAGGGAGATCTCTGAGATCATTTACATGGCCCAGCCATCGAGGTTCTGTGACCCCACCAAACCCGATCACATTTGCTTATTACACAAATCACTTTATGGGCTCAAGCAAGCCCCCGCGTCTGGTATCAAAAATTAAGTTCTTTTCTTCTTAATGATGGCTTCTTCTGCTCCAAATTTGATACTCCACTATTTATTAAGCACATAACTCACTTTTCTCTCCTTTTGCTCATTTACGTTGATGACATTATAGTGACAGGTTTCAATCGAGTTGTTATCTCCTCTCTTATCACTTGATTGGGGTTAACCTTTGCTATTAAGGACATGAGCCCACTGCACTTCTTCCTTGGTGTTGAAGCAATTCACCTACCCATAGGGCTATTTCTATCCCAACAACGCTATATTGTTGATCTTCTGCAGCATCTCCACCTTGAGGATGTAAAGCCCACCCCTACTCCCATGAGTGCTTCTTGCAAATTGTCCAAACATTCAGGTGACCCACTTCCATATCCTGCCGAGTACAGAAGCACAGTTGGTTAACAAAGCCTGCCAGTTCACGAGTGCACCCACTACTAAACATTGGCAAGTTGTCAAGTGCATCTTGTGCTACCTCAAGGATACCATTCATTTTGGTCTTTGTATTACACCATCTCACTCTCCTCGTCTTCATGCTTTTACAGATGCTGACTAGGCCAGCTGCCCAAATGATCACAAATCCCAAGGTGGTTATTGCATTTTCTTTGGCAATAACCTCATCTCATGGTCATCCAAAAAGCAATCCACTGTCTCGCGCTCTAGCACTAAAGCCGAGTACCAAAGTGCTGTTGTTGCCACCGCCAAACTATTATGGATTCAATCCCTTCTCAAAGAACTTGCCATTCCCTCAACCGACACCCCGGTCCTCTAGTGTGACAACCTTGGTGCTATGTACCTCTCCGCCAACCCAGCCCTCCATGCCCGTCCCAAGCATGTTGAGATCGATGTTCATTTTATTCGTGATCAAGTCTCCAAAAAGCTACTTCACGTCCAGTTTCTCTCCTCGCAAGATCAACTTGCCGACATCATGAAAATACCCCTTGGCACCCCTCGCTTTACTTGGCTTCGACACAAGCGGAACGTGTCTTCTCCCACATCCACCTTGAGGGGGTGATAACGATGAGTCTTCCAGTAGTCCCCATGCACCTTAGTTGTTAGGATATGCTTTATGTTTTTCATGTTTATGTCTCTCCCTTGTTATCACATTATCTTATCATTTCTGATTACTCCCACAATTTGGTTTGTAATTGAACTGTAGTTCTACTATTATAAATACAGCCCTCACTCACCGTATTTAGTGTGTGAGATTTTTCCAAAATTTGTGTGCTTTGGTAAGGCTGTAGAGAAAACAACGACAATCGATCCCATTCTTTACAGCATGGAATACCCCAATTAAAGTGTCATCTTGAAAATAATGGGCGGGGTCA